AATTAGCTGACCATTCAAAGAATTATCCAGAAATGCAAAAAATATCCTTGCTTTTCAGTGATTTCTGTTTTTATGAATACATTTGATGAGTAAAAAGATCATATGCTACATGTGGAAAAATGAACATTTTCTTTTGTATCAAAGGGCATTTAAACCCAAAATCTTACATATCTCATCTATATGGTACAAAGTGAACGAAAGCAAAAAAAAGGCCTATACATGATCCTGGATGCCATAGAATGAAAAGAATTCCTGTATCATCTTTTATATTCACAGAAAAGAATGAACTAATCTGGAATGTGTTAGTTATGATACACTATTGATTGCTCCTATCAGTGCTTTTTTCAACAATGGGGAGGACTGTTCTGTAAGGAATGCTTCTTTGCAATTTCTTGGGCATAGATGAGCCTGTCATTTCCTTACCAAAACGTAATGGAGAAGATACCTTTGGACTCAAGCAGCTAGGATAGCGGGGAGAGGAGTATGGTTTTAAGTGGCTTGCACTTTTGGGAGACAAGTTCACTTGCTCCAACGCCTGGGACTGGAGCTCTGAGGGATAATCCCTCACACAGCCAATTCGTGGTCCTGCTCCTGTTGTCCATTTACAAGACAGTTGTTTCCCCAATTGATATGAATTTGCCTCCTTTTTGGAGTTGATCCTTTGCAGTATCGATTCCTGATCAATGTGCTCGTTATCCTCACAATCATCATCAACCATCTACAGTTGAGTAGCAAATGCTTCCTTGTATGTTCTATGACTATCTTCCACTAGAGAGTCCATTGAATTATCATTACAACTTTGCCCAAGAGCCAAATGGTCATTTTGTAAACTTCCAAACCATTCATCCCTCTGTGGTATTTCAAGGTAAGTCAAATCCCCACTAAGGTTACGTCACCTTCTTGATTTGGGACGTTCAAGTGCTACAGTAGTTTCTTCTACTGAAACAGTTTCCCCTTGGACCAGGTCTTTGACAATGATCGCTTCAGTATCTAAGCTTTTCGGTGTTTGATCCAAGTCCTTTTCAGACGAGCTGCATCTCAGATGTTTGCTGCTTCTTTGGTTTCTACTTGAGGCTTCTTCCTCATCAGCTCAGCTCATCTGAATAAAACAAAAGAAGTAACTTCAGCGTATTCTCTTTTAAATTTCTCTAACAATGATACAAAATGAAGATAAAAAAATTTTCATTTGGTTTTTACCTTAACATCGGTAAGATCCACGTTGTTCTCTTCAAGAAATGAAATGAAGTCCTTGAAATTTTCTGGTGTAGGTTGATAGTTACCACTGTGAGGCCAAACTGCCCGGTGAAAGTACCCCAAAAAAAAAAAAAAGAAAAAAACATCAGTAGGAAACTTTTTCGACACAAAAAAGCCCTAAAGCATTAAACCAAGCGAGTGAGATGTATTTTGGCAGCTACTATGTTAATGACAATACTTTTAGGACTCCATCTTCGACAACTAATCTTCCAGCAGCAATTTTGGCTTCTCCAGCCAGGAAGCGCGAGTGTTGAAATGTGCCTTTCTTCTTCTGGCCAACATACAAGGCCTTTGATGTGCTAAGAACAAATATCCACTTAGCATTGCCAGTGGTGTGAAGGAGCTTCCCTGTTTGCTTGAATAAGAACTTTCCATCAACCACAATGACTTCAAAGGCTATCTTCTCAATCTGTAAGGTGGAAGAAATGTTACAAAAAGTTTGAACATAAGTAAGATAAAGTTTGACGAAGAAAAGAAACAAAGGATCACCAGTAGGGATGGCAATTTTCCTCGATCTTCGCGGGGCTCCGCAGGGATCTCCGTCACGGGAACGGAGTGGGGAGGAATATTCTTCCTCGCAAGGCGGGGATGGGGAGTACTTTCTCCCCGTGAAATTTCGCAAGCAAAAATTAAAATAAATATAAATTAATTTTATTTTAAATTTAATTCATATTTCAAACTCAAACCCAAAGCCAAAGCCAAACACAAACCCAAACTCAAGTTCAAACTCAATTCAATCAAAATTAAATTTAACCCAACCCAACCCAACCCAACCCAACCCAATCCATAAAAATTAACCCAATACATTCCCCTACTTACATTTAACCTTAACCCTAATTCATTTCTCAATTTTCATTTTCACTTCCCCTCCATTGTTGGATTAATTTTTGTTTATGTTTTAGTTTAGCTTGGATTAATCTTTGTTTATGTTTGGAACAAATTTGTTAATTGTTGGTTTAGTTATTTATGTTGAATTGATTTTTATTTATATTTGGACAATTTATATTTGATTTTATATTTAAAAATTTTAGTTAATTGTATTTGAATTTTTAAAATTTTATTTATTATAATTGAATATTAATTAATTATATGTAAAAGACAAAAAAATTTATAATTTAATATTAATTGGTAGGGAATGGAGATCCCCACGGGAAACGGAGACGGGGGCAAAATCTACCCCCATCAAAAATCTTTCGTGGGGATCTCTATTCCCGCCATTCGCGGGGACGAGGACAGGGAGGGAGTCCCTAGCCCCGCGGGGTCCCGTTGACATCTTTAATCACCGGACCAAGGTACTTGATGCACTGTTTGTCATAACTCAAAATTTTTAAAATTTTATTTTTATTTTAGTTTTTATCTTAATTAATATGTTCGATTTTTACTTTCATTGTTAGGTTTGCAAGCAAAAGGAAATTTCACAAAAAGTGGGAGAAGAAGAAACAAGGGACTCAGTTGAAGAAATCAAAAGTTTGGGGATGAAATCCTTTAAGCTATAAATCTAGTCCGTTTCTCAAAACCCATCTCAAATGGCCCAATTCCGTTAAAACCAAACCCAACCTAACACCAACCCATTTCAATTTAAAAGACTTAGGCCCAATATTAAGCCCATGCCCATCAAAAATCAGCCCAAACCCAACTGAAACCCTAATTTCTTATCTCTCCAAAAAAAAAAAAAAAAAAACCTGCAGAGACAAAAGGGAAACAAAAGAAAAAAAGGAGATAAAAAACGTACCCCCCTGCCGCGCCCCCTGCTGCGCCCCCTTTGCAACCCCTGCGCCCTGCTGCTGCAGCCGACTTCGCCCCCTGCTACTGCACCCGAGCCTGCAGCAGCCCGCGCCCCCTGCTGCCTGCGCCCTTTGCTACTGCAGCCGACTCCGCCTCCCTTCTCCTGCACTCCTCGAGCCTACAGCAGCCTGCACCCCCCTCTCTGCGCCGCCCCTCTTCTGCAACCAGATCCTACAGCCTCCTCTCTGCGCCGTCCTTTTCCTGCAAAGATAGATCCTGCGCCCCATGTTGCAGCCAACTGAGCATGATGGCAGACCAGCGTCCTTTAGGTTTTCTTTTGATTTTTGTATAAATAGGGGAGGATTGGTGAGTTTAAGGGGTTGGATTTTTCTCCTTCTGCGGTTCCTCTTCATCTTGTCACTAAAAAAGAGAGAAGCAGAAGACAGAAATCCGAAAGAGGGAGGGTGTTTCTTTTGTTTTTTCTTGGTTCTGGGGTTTTCTTTTTTCCCTTTTTACCTGAGGTTGGTGTTGACGGCAGAGAAAGATATATTTTTTTCCAATTAGATTATATATGTCATAAAAAAAAATAAAAAATACCAAGTGGACGGAGTTAATGGTTTAAACTATGAAAGTATCAAAATTGTGCAGTTATTAAAGTCAAGGGATTAAAAAAGTGTAAAAAAATAATTTAAAGACCAAAAAAGTATAAAAAATAGTTTATGAACCAAAAAAGTACAATTCAATAAAGTTGAGGGATAAAAAAGTGAAATTTAATGAAGTTGAGGGACAAAAAAAAGTGAAATTTAATAAAGTTGAGTGACCAAAATTAACATTTAACCAATTTTTTTCAAGTGGCGGGTGTAAAATGTGACGGAACATTAACGGAATAATAGGAGATTTAACGGAAGTTAGTTTTCCGTCCAATTGGGACTTATTTGACTTGACTCTTCTGTGCTATTTAAAAACTAAAACAATTTTTGAAATCTAATTGAAGCACGAAAAATGTGGGCCTGTTTGGTGTGGATTATTGGAGCTTCAGCTTTTGGATACTATTCATGTCTCATGCATTTAAATTTCCCTCTTAAAAATTTACACTTTTAAATATTTTTTTAACCTCAAAAAGCTCTTAAACAGTAAAAGCTCAAAAGTTTCAAATCCAAACTTTTCATAAACTCTCTTTTTACTTACTTTTCACTTACTTTTTCACCTTTCTAAAAGCTAAAGCTCTATTTTCCCTCCAATAAAAATTTAAATTTATCACTCATAACAGTACTCAAAAAGCTAAAGCTCCCACCAGCCACACCAAACAGGCTCGTAATCTTCTTTGCAAAAGCTAATCGAAAGCAGGAGATGGACGAGATGAGAAATATAGGTACACGTGAAGGTACAGAAGAAGCTTAGAACACTAAAACACTAAAAAAGACATTAAATATATATATATTTTTAATTATATCATAAGTTATATAATAAAAAATATATTTTTATTTTTTTAATTTTTCTAGTTATTTTAAGATTTAAACTACTTGAGATATCCCGTCTATATGTCAATTTTTTAACTGTAACAACCCTCAAAGACATCATCAAATGTTTTAGTTGTTACCCAATGTATCTCTAAAATTTCAAGTGCAGTTGTGGGCAACTGTGGAAAGGCATAAAAAATAAAAAAGAGACAAAATTAAAGATAAGTGGCAAGGAAAGGGGCACGTGAGTGCAAGTGCTTGAAAAGGAGGATTGAAGATGGCCCAAAATTATTGTAAAATTATAAAAATGTCAAAGAATATGTAAGTGACTGAGCTATTATATTTGAAGGATAAAAAGGTTAATTTAAATAAACATTAACTCTATTACTTTAAATATTAAATCATTAAATTTCCTCTAGACCAATAAAAAAATATAAATAGAGGTTTTGAGTTATATTTTCTTTTTGAAGGGCAAAATAATAAACTAAATCTAGAGAATGATGTCAGGAAAAGGAATAGTACGAGAGATAAAAAGGATTGAAAAAAATGAGAGAAATGAATAAATATAGGAGATACAGAGATAAGAAGAATGGAGGGCTCAACCTTTTTATACTTTTAAATTTAAAACGCTTTTTTAAAATTATTTTGGACACATAAATAAATTTTTAAAATTTTTTTAACAGCTCACGCCTCACAGTTTTTTGGAAGTGGGCAATTCGGACCTAGACACAACACAAGCATTTGGACTGATTGCTCGGGTGCCTACTTTTACTAAGAATGCATAAACAAAAGAAAGACTAGTAGTTGTAACAACTTGATCTCATGCAAATACTCGTTCTAGAATTCTACGAACGGTAGTTATATTAATATCCTTACATGTGATGTGATGTTTGGCGTTTAAATACAAGTAAACAGCCACTTTGTACATCTTACTTTCAGATGAACATTGATATTCAACGGGAATGAGCTTAAGAGGCACTTTCTTTTGAACAGCAATTCCAGCTTCTTCCTCCATGCAGATATCTTCCTCTGTCATCCCCTCCGGTAATTTCCAATCAAAGCAATACAAAAGATTTGCAAGTGTCAGCTCTACTACCGCGACCGCCTTATGCACTCCCGTACAAATTCTACGACCACTACCGAACGGTAAAAACTCATAATTCTGCCCCTTGAAATCAATTGGACTGTCCAAGAACCTCTCGGGGTAGAACTCTTGGGGGTTTTCCCACACATTTGGATCCCGCCCGATGGCCCAAACATTTACTTGTATTTGGGTCTTCGGGTCGATGGTGTAACCCGAGACGTTGAATCGGGTAATGGCTTCTCTCGCAGCCAGCAACGTCCCCGGTGGCTGCAACCGCCAGTTTTCCTTCACCACCGCCTTTAGATACGGAAGTTTTTCGATGTCAGTTTTTCGATGTCAGTTTCTGAGACTTTCCCTTTGTTCCCAACGCTGTTTCTTATTTCTTCCTGTGCTTTCTTCATCACTCTTGGGTTCTTTGCCAGCTCCGCCATGGCCCAAGCCATGCTTATGGCACTGGTATCGGATCCGGCGAGAAATAGGTCCTGATCGGTGACAGATCCAAAGGTGGTCAGTTTGAAAATTTCAGAATAAATTCTCTTCTTATTAGGCCTCAACCTTTCAAAATTGCTTGTGAAGTCAGTCGATCCTAAGGAGTAATTGCTGAAATTAACTTTTTAAAAGAAGAAACATTGCAAAAACAGAGGAAGTTTGAAGTGACATGCTTACCATAAGAATAGCTTTGATGTGATTATGAGTGATTTTTTCAGTACCGGATGCCGTTTCATATTTCCCTATTTTTATCAGAACGTCGATGATATCTTCGTGTTCTTCCTCTGTAATTCGGCGACCGGAGCAGAGGTGATCGTCTAGCACTTTCTGGAAGAAAGCATCCAGTTTTTTAAAATTCCGTTTGAGTCTTCTATGGAGACCTGTCATTCTGTCCATAATCCAACCGAAGTAAGGGAAGAAATCGGCTGCTGCAAAGTTTCCCAACATGACAACAGCTTCATGAATCTCCTCTTCGAAATCCGCACCGAAATATTCATATCCCCTTTCTTTAAAGCTCTTTCCAAATGCAACCCGACAGTGACATCGGCAGTAAGAGAAGTCAGCTTCTCACTGAGGTTGACCGGTGTCCCTAATTTGGAGATTTCCGAAATTGATTTTATTAGGAATTCCACCTCTTCTTCTCTGACGAACCGGAAGGATTGGACTCTTTTAATGCTGAAGAGTTCGATAACGTACAGACGTCGCATTTCCCTCCAGTAATCGCCATAAGCAGAAAAGGCGACGTCGAGGTAGTTATAGGAGAGCATCCCGGTACCCGTCAAGGGAGGTCGGCTGCAGCAATCGAGATCGTGGGCTTTAAAGAGTTCTTTTGCGGCTTCTGCAGAGGATACAATGAGTGTTGGGACAAATCCAAGATGAACGAGCATTACAGGGCCATGTTTCTTTGACATTTCAGCAAACGACTGGTGGGGAACTGCACCGATTTGGTGAAGGTTTCCAATAATTGGAAGTTTTCGGGGGCCGGGAGGAAGCCGCAGCCGCTGCTTTTGCTTTTGCATCATCTTCTGGAGAAGAAGAACTAAGAAAAACAGAAAAAGAAGGAGAATAAACATTGGCATAACTACTAATGAAGATCCTCAAAGTGGTTTTAGCTTTCACATGAATCCAATCCATAACTACACTTAAAAAAAAAAAAAATACCAACGAAAACTTAAATATTTTAATAAT